CCATTTATGCAAAAAGTGGGTAAAATCGCCAGGTTTCTTAAACATAAAAAGGTTTTCTTTGGATTTTTGTATTTGAAGGATTTGCATGTCACGGGTACTTTAAAGCAAAATCTATATTTTTAAATCTTGTACCGTGCAAAGTAAAAAAGAGTGATCACCATGGTTATGTTGTCGGCCATCTTGAATTGTGGGGACTGTGTGAACATGCGTCCAATAATTGCTGCAACAGAATACCAAACGGTTGAGTTTTTTTTCATATTTTACCTTGATTTTTCTGTTATCAAACACCGGAGCAGGGTCGACCGTGAACCTGTGTGATATTTATGATTAAGCTGGCGTGGGTTTCGGAAAAGGCCTATCTTTTCACAAGCATCGGCTCCAAGGTCGGCGTCTGGCCGCGTGATTCGTCTGCCTCCGTCTTTGTTGCACAAAGTGAGTCAGGCTCGGTCAACAGCAGCAGCAGCGTCTGATCCCGTCCCGGTTTGAGTTAATGACTGACGGACCGACAAGTCGCCCCTCTGTGCCCACTCCAGCCGGTGTTAGTTAATAACTAATTACTGTTTGCAGACTCCCGTGGAGGTAAGAGGGAGGGACGGGTTTTTTTTATCTCCTGCCGCTAAAGGCGAAGGGGAGTGAAGATCATTTTGTGTGTGTGAGCAGTAAGCAAATTTTAATTGTTTTTTTAAAGTGCTTCTGTCATGAATATACTCCAAATACAAAGAAGTCAAAGAAAATATCGTTATATTTAAGTTGTGTGGCATAACACATGATTTTAAACATTTTCTTGCATATTTTGCTTTGAAAGTGAAACAGGAAGTGACATCAAAGGGGACCTCTTAAAGAAAGTGAACTTCCTGGTTTTTGTTTATTGAAATGTTGTTTAAACTCTGACTCTGATTTACAGAAACAGATCATTTACAGTCTGTGTTAGCCACTGTAGCAGCACATTGTTGTTCCCCTTTGACATCACTTCCTGTCGCTGCACACACGAATATCTCTACAACCGTTCATCTGAGCAGCGTGATCATTTTTTTGCAGTTCATGATTAATATTATTTTTCCAAAAATGCGTTCAGACTTATTACTAAAATTTAATGTCAGGTGCACTTTAATCGTCAACAACTGATTCACGTTTTAAAGTTAACTAGATTCAAGATGGCTGCCAGTGTTTTGGTGTGATAGTAGCGCAGACTCTGAGTGCAGCTCGCTCATCCTGTGAGATTTATATTTTCTCTTGAGTAACTACTGGAATAAATGGTCTGTTAGCAAAATATGCAGCTTTGGGATTCAATCTAGATGCGTTGGTTTACTAAGTGTTCGTACCGATAAAATCCTAAAAGGTGAACCATAGTTTTAGTTAGTTGTATTTTCCCTTAGCAACACCTACAGTTCAGGAGGGGAACTGCAGCGCAAACACGCAATCAAAAACGGAAAAAAAAACAATTTCTTTCAGATACATATTATCACTGTCCAGTCAATTAGCAAAAAATCTCACTAAAAATCAAATTATTTGACTTTAAAATAGAAGAGAATACAGAATTAAAGTTGACTACTCCCGAGAAAAAACTGCACTAAGTACAGTGACAAAAAAAGGTAAGTAGAAGCCCTGCAATGTTGTTTCACAGTTTGCAGATTTAATCCTTCGTAATATCGCGGAAACCGGTACAGTAAGGAGCGCTTTCAAGTTAAATGATTTAAAACGATGTAATTTACTAGTTTTGTAACAATCATTAATTCTAACGTAATTATTTCTGTTCGAAATAATAAAAAAAGTATAATCCATGATGCATAACCCTGTGCCCACTAGGGCTGTGTATTGGCAAGAATTTGGCGATACGATACATATCACAACAGAGGGGTCACGATACGATATATCCCGATATATCCCGATATACTGCGAAACTGTAAGCAAGGCGATATATTGTGATTTTTTTTTTGTCCAAAAGTTCTATTAAACAAAAACCTCTTACTGAAATAAAAAAAAGAAAAGCTAATGTTTACTTACAGTGCTAATGCTACCCTTACTCTCTGGCGCTCAAGAGGTAGAGGAGCCAAATGGCTGGCTCACTGCTGCCAACTAGTGGTCAGAGGCTGAACTACAACATAAAAATTAACGGTTGGCAAGAAGGTTGACATTTTAAACCTTAATAAAAAATCGATACAGGGATTTAGAATATCGATACAGTATCGGGAAATGAAATATTGCGATATTTCAGTGTATCGATATTTTCTTACACCCCTAGTGCCCACGTTCCTCCCTTAGCACAGCATTCCCACCATCTAGCAGGTTACTTTACAGTACTGTGTTGCAGCTAACAGTTTAGCTCGTGGTTTTTTTTTTTTTTTTTGTGTTTGGTTCTTTCCGCACTACGATGCCGCCCTATTGGCCTTTTCTGGACCGCATCCTGTATATGTTTTTTAACGATTCACGGAGGAACGTAACTAGGGCTGCAGCTAACGATTATTTTAATAATCGATTAATTTGTCGATTTTTTTGATTAATCGATTAATCTGCCAAATCATTAAAACACTTAGTTACATAAATATAAGTAGATATAAATTAATTTAAGTCCTGTATAAATTAGGGATGCAAGTTATTGATTTAATGTGAAGTTGTCTGAAGTTGATATATCTTATAGATTGACTAACAATTAATTGATGAGCAGAGTTTTCTATTGAATCAACAGGGTCTTTTCATAACATGAAGGATTTTTTAAAAATAATATGCAAAATTAAAAAAGAAGCACATCATAAATATTTTAACAATTGATTTTGTCAGCCGTATTAAACACGACTGGGGGAAAAAAGCGGATTTCTCATACATTAATAAAGTTGGTTATATCTATAAAAAATAACAAAACAGAAATTTAATAAGTTGCTGAGTGAGGAAAAGAAATAAAAAGAATAAAATGGTTTTTAGATGTAAAAGTATTATTAATTTGTTATTGTAATTAGAATTTATGATTTTTCTCTAATTCTTTACATTTTGCTTCCTTCTTGTTGGTTCTGTTTGTGCCTAAAACGACCCAGTAAGCGGTTCCCTCATCCCTGTCCCTTCCCCTACTGAGTCAGACCAGGAGTTCTGCTCGCTTTATTTATTTATTTATTTATTTATTTATTTATTTATTTATTTATTTATTTATTCCTTCATACTGAACCTTTTTGCTGCTTATCAAATAACTTTGAGCCTCGGTCAAAAAAAATAAAGACTGGAGGGTTTTATATTTCTGGCCCAAGAGGAGGAATTAACAAATGGTGGACTGAGGGATTTATTTTATTTTTTCCCACGGGACGCGCTTCCTCGTTGCGATGCAGTGCGTATCAAATCAGACCGTCATTTAAAAAAATTAAATGTAACAAATACTTTCTATCATAACTTCGGATCTACGTGGCCTAACAATACAATTTTAAAAACTGGTATAAAGTTCCAAGTCTCTACTTTTCACTCAGGGTCTCAGAGAGGGCGGGTCTTTACAGGTAGAGTTTTTTTTTCCTAAACTTTATTTAGGCCGGCCAGCTTTGACAACGCTCTGCGGGTGACGTAAACAGCTCCGCGACACGGTGAGAGACGCATAAATCGCGCGACACAATGAATCCATAATGAATTTTGTTGCTAGCGCTTTTAAAAATCGGTTTAAAATATTAACTTTGGGGCCGAATAAAGTATTAACAGGGGCCGGATTTGGCCTGTGGACCTTGAGTTTGACACGTGCGTCTTAGAAAACAGAAATATAGCTTTTAGCATTAGTCATTCATAACATGTAATCGAAGCGTAAACAGATATTTGATCCTACCGAATATGTTCGTTTCTTTAAGGAATGTGACGCTTTTGCCTTTTTTTTTCTCGATTGTGTCATCAGCTGAAAATATTGACACGAGAGCAGCCGAATATCTGAGCTCCGTGTTTGTGCTGCGATAACTTTTGACCATCTATTGTTATCCAGAAACAGGTGTGGGAGGGTCGTGTCGAGACCTGCAAGTTTTTTTTTTTTTTTTTTGCAGCTCCAGTTTGATGAGACAGACTCAAAAACAAAACATCGTGTACAGCTTGTTTCAGAAGCTGGAGGAAGGTGTTTGTGTCAAAAGGGCAGATCGGTGTTCATGTCTGTTAGCAAGATATCTCACAAACCACTGGATGGATTTTAATGAAACTTTCAGACAACAATCATTGGACGCACATCTACAACTGATTAACATTCAGTGTCAAGCAAGTCAAAGATGGCTGCCGCAGCTAATCAACCTTAGTCAGCACAAAAATGATTATAACTTTGTTAATTTTGCAGATATTAACCTGAAATCTGGTGTGGAGGTAGCTGAGAGTCATCCTGATCACGTGGTCTGAGTGAAAATAGTGAAAAATAATGAAAAATGGCCACAACTTCTCAACATATGATGCTCTTAGCCTAAAACTCCAGCATTAAAGGGGTAGGCGATACTGGCGTTGTGCTTTGTTTTATGTATTGGGTGTAAATTCTGCTCACTTTAGTGCCGTTTATAATTACACTCTTACCCATTCCAGGAAAGACAGCTAGCTGAGACCGGATGGGGGAAGTCCTTATCATCCGGCCTCATCAGACAAAAATAGCCTGAAAGCAAACGTAGGTAAAACTGATGACACCTTGAGTTTCAGCTGCACGAGTCCAACTCGGATCCGTTGTAATGGAGGCGACAGGTGGGGGCGAACATGAAACAGGGAGAGACGGAGCTCTTCGAACGTGCGCTGGAGTTTTTGTGGTTTTGCAAAGTGTGGACGGGGGCGGGGCTTCAAACACTGCTGAGCTACTTCTGAGTTTCAGGTCCATCCCCCCCTCCCCCTCCCCTCCTGTTTAAACTCCCTGTTTGATCGGTTTCCCTTAAAGAGCCTGTCACCTCTCGGCGTCTCTCTGGCCTTGCTCTCTTATCTTAAGTTGATGTTGACCCTCAGGCCGAGGACAAACAGCAGCAACTGTAAAAGCTGCTATCTGCCTCCACTCATGACGTTGCTCTTTCTCTGTCCTTCAGCTGTTTGTCTGGTCCACGAGGGATCCTGGAGAGCAACATGGCAGAGTGTCAGCTGAGCGTCTAGCTAGAATGAGGTGAGTCAACGAGCTAACAAGCTATTTTACGATGAGGGAAGCTAAACTTGTAGAATTTGATGCTGATTATCATTCACACTTTTGTTATGTGTTTATTTGTTTTGTTTTCTCCGGTTGTTTTTGCAGTTGAGCAGCTGCATATTTTAGCTTTTCTTACATTAAAATGTGCAGCTCATTCAGGAGATGGATGCTAGGACTTATTTATGTTTTTCACATGGAGATGCATTTACCGCTTCAAGCTGCTTAAGCTCTGTTTAGTCTTCTTATGCTACTATTAGCATTCAGCTAATGTTTTGCTACTTTTTGCTGTAGCTATCATTCTGCTGCTTCTAGTTTTTAGCTAGCCTTCTGCTACTTCTAACCCGACTTGATGCTTTTGAAACTTCTAGCTACTGTTTTGCTACTTTTATCTGCTTTAGCTGGTCTGTAGCTACATTTAGAGGTTAGCTTGCTTGTGCAAAGTTTAGCTAGTTTTTGATACTTTTTGCTAGTATTTTAATTCTTTTGACTTGTAGCTAGCTTTGACACAATTCTAATATTTTGCTGCTAACTTGCCTTTTGCTACTTTTAGATTTCAGTTAGCCTCTTAGGCTGGTGTTCTGCAACTTTTAGCTTCTGGCTAGCGCTGGGATACAGCTATTTGCTGCTTTTAGCTAACCTTTTGATACCTCAACTACCAATGTGATGCTTTTAGATACAATTTTGCTACATTAGGAGTTAAGCTCATGTTTGGCTACTTTTAGCCAGTGTTTTGCAGTTTTTATCTTTGGGCTATCACTTTGATACTTCTAGCTATCATTCTGCTGCTTCTAGTTTTTAGCTTGTCTTCTGCTACTTCCAACCCAAACTGAAAATTTTGAAACTTCTAGCTACTGTTCTGCTGCTTTTTATCTGCTTTAGCTGGTCTGTAGCTACATTTAGATGTTAGCTTGCTTGTGCAATGTTTAGCTAGTTTTTGATACTTTTAGCTAGCATTTTAATTCTAACATATTGCTGCTTACAACTTGCCTTTGGCTACTTTTAGGTTTCAGTTAGCCTTATGATACTTTAAGCTGGAGTTTTACAGCGTTTTAGCTTCTGGCTAGTTCTGTGAAACAGCCTTTTGCTGCTTTTAGCTAACATTTTGATACCTCAACTATCATTGTAGTACTTAGCTTTTAGATATCATTTTGCTAGATTAAGAGTTAAGCTCATGTTTGGCTACTTTTAACCAGTGTTTTGCAACTTTTAGCTTCAGGCTATCACTTTGATACTTGAAGCTATCATTTTGCTGCTTTTAGCTATCCTTTTAATACTTCTAGCTACAATTTTGCAACTTACCTTTTAGCTAAGTTTTTGCTACTTTTAGCCAGTGTTTTGCAACTTTTTTCTTCAACCTATCACTTTGTAGTTCAGATAGCTCAAGGTTAACTAAAAGCAGCAAAACGATAGGTAGAAGTATCAGTTTTGGTACTTGTAGTGTTTTGCTTCATTTAGCTAGCATTTTGCCTCTTTTTATTTCTTTTAGATATCCTTTTGGCACTTCTAGCTATTGTTTTTAGCTTTTAGCCAGCGTATAGCACCTTTTAGCTTCTAGCTAGCACTTTGCTTATTTTGATTTCTATCTGCTATCCTTTGGTACTTCTAGCTGTTGTTTTATTTTTTAGCTTGTATCCATCTTTAGGATACTTCAAGCTACAATTTAGCAACTTACCTTTCAGCTAGGCCTTTGCTACTTTTAGCCAGTGTTTTGCAACTTTTAGCTTCAGACTATCACTTTGATATTTGTAGCTATCATTTTGCTGCTTTTAGCTAGCCTTTTGATCACATGGTGAGGGTGGGGTGTTTGGGATCAGACCTCTTGGGGCATTTAGGCTGGTGGGGGTGTATTGGGGTCTGGGGGGAGGTTCTTGGGGGCTTGCCGCCGGGGGTTCCGGAGCGGGGGTGACGCTGCTCTCGCTCTGGGGAGGGCCTTGGTGGTTTTGGGGGATGTCTTCTGGTGGCTGCATGTGGGCCCTCATGTAGTTTGTAGCGGTGGTCATGGGTCGCTGGTCTGATTGCCTGGCCGTGCTGGGGCGGGTCCGGAGTGGGCGCGGGGCGCTTGGGACCCTGGGGGCGTGTCACCCCTGGGCTGTGGCTCTGGTGGGGCAGGGGGGCTTGGGCTCTGGCGGGCAGGTTGCCGGGCCTTGGGCCGGTGTGAGCCCTGGTTCCCGGGTCTGGGATGGGGGCCTCTGGTGCGCTGGTGGTCTGTGGTTCTCATGGGCTGGGGGGTAGGGTTGGCTGGGGGCGTGACATGGAGCTAGTGGGGGGGTTGACCCAGCCTGGTTGTCCTTGTCTTATATGTTCTGATAGTGGCCCGAATGTTGGGGTGCGTGTAGTATGTCTTCTGGGGTGGGGATTGGGTTGGTGGCCTTTGGTGGTGACTGGGGGCCGTGCTGGGCTGGCTGGTTGGCCCCTTTGCTGTGGCGGGGGCCTGCCCTGGGTGCCCCTTGCTCTGTTGGCCGTTGGGTGGGCGCTCTTGACCGGGTCATCCTTGCTGGGGAACGGTGGCCTCTCTGGGTGGCGGGCTGGCTATGGGCCTGGGGTCGAGTTTAGGGGGTCTGGGTGGCAATGGGGGTGGGGGGGGTGTTGGTCCCGGTTTCTGGTGGCATTTGGGGCTCCGTCAGTCCATGGTCTGGGGTTCTGTGGGCTTGGCGGTTTGCCTGGAGGGAGAGGTATTTGGGCTGCTCTTCTTGGGTGGGTTTCGGGGAACGGGAGGGCTTACTGGGGCAAGAGGGGGAGCTGACTCCCTGTGGGAGCATTTTGCTCCTTCAGCTTATCCCTCACCACACACCTCCATCTTCTTCACTTTCAACTTCACCCATGTAGGTTTTTTTGGGGGGCACAGCTGTGTTGTAAGA